TCTTCCAGGTGCCTGGAATGAATTAACTCCCATGCTGTATGAAAGCTCATGGACATTAGTCATTGTTTCAATGGAGGTAAATTTAGGCAGAGTTTTATCACAATTAAAAGAAGAAATGTTTTTAATCCTTGCAGTGGGGCTACCCCCGCACTGCAAGGGTTAGGCGCTCTGTCTTACCATTTAGTTAATCAACCCCTGTGAGTGCATGGCAACCCCTCCCTCTAAGACCCTTACAGTGTAGTTGGAGGTTCACAGTATATATGAATAGCACTGTGATTCTGCTTTTCCTGAGCTATATATAAGGGAAGAAGGACATTGTGAGATGCTGGGTGTGATATATTGAACAACTCTTTATTTATCTTTGAATTATAACATGTTGATATTTTAAAACAATGAAATGTCAACAGGGTTTATCCAGTTGTGTCTCCATTAATCTGCTTTATGGTTCTGTCAGGAAAGCCATAACATACACATCATTTATTTCAGCTGTATGCTGGCCTGCTAAAAATATGTGGAGACTTGGCACTGAGTCAAAATCAACCAATCAATTTACAAGTACTAAGATTTCAGATGGTATCATTTGAGATTTTGAGTGAGCACAACTGTGTCCTGAAAATAACCTTAGCGTTACCCACGTAATTAAATTAAAACATAGGATTACAATCTAGAACAAACTGTTACATTCTGTAATGACATCAAATAAATAACAATTACGGTAGTCAGAACTGAAGAAGTGGCTTGGATTACAGATGTCCACATTGTCATATTTTCCCTCTATTTCTGTTCTGGTGACAAATGAACACTTTAGATTTTTCCTAACAATGGCCACAAGGACAACAGTAAATATTGGAGAGGGGTGTAAACCTTTCCTACTCTGTCCAAAATTAAAATAATATTATTTAAAACCTTTCTGACTAGCTCACACATATATGCCGTGGAGCGAAGGTGGGCTTTAAAGCAGAACTCTGGGTGAAACAAATCTAAACCCTTGTAGTGGGCTACCCCTGCACTGCAAGAGTTAGGTGCTCATTCTGTCTAAGGAGCTAAAAAAACAAAGTTATACTCATCTGAACCATAACCCCGGCTGACTCCTTGACCGGTCCCTTCAGCCTGCCTCCCCCTCTGCTCCAATGGTCTAAGGCCCTGTGAGTCATGACCTCCAATACAGTGTATAGATTGTGATGACGCTGAGGAACATACCATCACTGGAGGAGGAGACAGGCTGGAGGGAGCGGTGTAGCAGCAAGCCGGGATTGTGATTCTGATTAATATAACTTATCGGCTCCCTACACAAAACACGCTGTTAACACTTGCAGTGCAGAGGTAGCCCCAGTGCAAGGGTTAAGATTTGATCTGCCCAGAGGAATACAGTGGTGCTTTTATCTTGCTTTTTATTTTTTAAACTTAGTAAAACATTTTTTTGTACCGGAAATAAAAACACTGGTAGAAAATAAGGTCATAATGACGTTTCAAATTAGAGGATTTGGGGACACAGAGATAAAGTTAAACTCTAGGCAATCAGCTAAATACATAGATGAAATGCATGTATGGATGCTGTTTTACCCAACAAAGAATTTGTATTTTCATCTAGCCAGTCGATTAGATTTACACAGCTCTGCCACACTGAGCAGCCCTGTCTGGCAGGACAGGAGACCTATTTTTTCTGCTGCAGTTAAGTAACACTTACAGGTCTTATCCCTCCCCCAGCCTGTGACTGGACATTGAAAGGACAAGCAGCACACTGATGAGCCTATCTCTCTTTAACTCTGTTCTGACTTCCTCTGAGCATGCTTCTTGTAAGCACATGAACTGATTGGCTCCTTGAGCTGCTTCTCCCTCTGCACAGCGATTGCAAGAGGCTAATACTAGTTCATTTTGGGTACCTGCACTGCTTGTATTTAAATAAATACATATAATAAATGGATATACTTTTGTGTCTGCCTGGAATTCAGCTTTTAAAAATTTAGCGTGGAGTTGCCCTATAAGTGTTTGCACACATTTTGTTGATCTAGCTGGCAATGTGTATGCAATACCTTCATAATTTATTCTATTTGCTGCTATCATCATATTTCAGAATCAGTCCCAAAGTGTTCCTGAACTCATTTGGGGGAATCAGCCTTTAGGAATAAGGACTGTTTTTTTCTATTACCCTAACTCAGTTTACAACGTACACTATCCTATTTCCAATTAATTATTTACCAGGGTGTCACACCCCATTTCCATTTTCTGCTTACTGTTTTGCTAACAACCTCATGAGAATTCCGATGCTGACAGTACAGTTCATTTATTTTACCCAAAATGATACATGCTTTATGGAGACCAGCAGATAATTGGCATGCCTTTCTTTTCATAAACAACTTGTGCAGATATTTCAATATATTAATGTTTTTTTGCTGACTCAGCTGACCTGTAAACAGTTAAGAAAAAAGAATTTAAATGTGTTATGCAGAATACACAGTTTCCAGATGTGTATTCTCTAATTAAGTGAAAGTGCAATTGTTATGGGAAAAAGACATTGATCCATTTTTATCTTCATAGATAAGACTGAAGAATCTCTGTTCTTTTCAACACTATCTCATGCTAGTGCTCACAAAAACATTGGGGTTTCATAACTTTACAGTTCAGTCAAACATGAAACTTTTCTCAGGTTAACACGCTGCTAACAATGCTCCAAAGATTCTGGATGACTGTTTTACGATGGGTTTTGAACCTTGAGCTTGTAACATAGCTCCCAATGGTCCCTTATTTGGAGGGGGAGTCCTTCTTTTGGAACCAAATCCATCTGTCCCTCTTTTTGGCCTGATGTGTAGATCTCTGTAGAAAATGTATTATTTAAAAAAGTATTTTGCTGCTCTAACAGTGCTATTCACAAAATGGTGAAGAGTTTGGAGAAAGCCGGAGAAGGGAACAATCTAGGACAACATAGCTGAACTGGAAAGTGAGCTGAATTGGATATTTTTTTTCCAAATCGGCTATTTTGGCCTAGACTGTTCACTCCTTCTGCCTTCTCCAAACTCGTCACCCTTTTGTGAATAACCCTGCAAACCTTTGATCTATTTTTAAAATAATTAAATTTGTTATTTTGAAAATAAATGTAAAGTAGGGATGAAGAAAGCAATTTAGGGTTAAACCAGTCATTATTTGCACATTAATCATCATGGTCTTTGTTACAAGAACCCAGACAGGTGTGCATCCTTTGCCTACATACTCTGTGCTATAATGATCCCTCTTTCCTGCCTCGCAGGTATGTTGTTAAAAATGCAGGCCAAGGGTTCCCTGGTCCTGAGGACCACTGTCAAAAATGTGTTATGTCTAAAACCAGCTAATTGTCAGAACTTTTAAGTTTTAACATGCAATTTCTACTTTTGCAAACACATTTGAGAAAACCCTTCTATATGTTTGTCATGTGTTCCTATTTACACAGCAAAAATTATTTATTACCGTTTAGATGTCTCTGTTTATCAGGGTTTTAATCTGACTGCAAGCTACTCTCTACAATTTCCAAGTGGCAGGAAACTCTGGCTGTCCCCATAGAAAGACTAGGGAGAGACTAAGCTTCCTCTTATTGAAGGAGAATTATGGGAAGAGTGAAATACACTCATCCAAATATTTAAAGCCGATGTGTGACACTGCAGCTGTCAGATGTCGACTCTATTGATCAACAACTGAGCGATCACATACTGCTGATCACTCAGTTAACGATCCTTGCAGAGAGCGGTGAATGTCAGTCATCACGCTCTGAAGGGATTCCCCTCTCTGTTCCTCCAGCACTGACTAGAGGGACAGAAGGGAGAATGGGGGCGGGCAGAGCCAGCTGTCAATCAGGCAGCGGGATTGATTGTGACAATATTGCAGCATTGGAATGTTCCCAAGTGTCTTCATGTCTATACACTGTGTATAGATGTGATGATTTATGGGACCTAAGATCGCTGCAGAGGAGGCGGAGGGACGTTGGAAGAATAGGTCTAAGAACAAGCTGGCTCAGAGTGAGTATGTATTTGTTATTTTAGCACCTAGACACAAATAAGCAGTTAACCTTTGAGGTACAGGGGTAGCCCTACTGCAAGGGTTAATGAAAAAGTTATTCCTTAATACATTGTAGATGTGTTCACTTTAATTATTCAATCATGTTTAGATGAAATCCCAGTCAGGACGAAATCTGCAAGGAGTGCTTGCATGGTATTCCCTGTGCTTGCAAGGGTATCCTCCCACACTCCAAAGAAATGCTGGAAGATTAATTGGCTCCTGTCTAAATCATCCCTGGATGAGTGTGCGATAAGGACCTTAAATGTAAGCTCCTCTAAGGCAGGTACTGAATGTGCAGTATATAAAGCACTGCATAAATTGTCAGCGCTATATAAATACATGTAATGAATAAATACATACATAACAGGGATTTGCTTTACATATGATTGTCTCACTGATCTGAATCCTCACTAATTTTACTAAGTGAAGAGTCTCTACTCCTTTAGTAAATCAGCCTCAACATATCATCCAAATACAGACCTGCAAGGTACAATTCTCTTCAGGTAGGTCTTTGAGGAGATTGCAATGACAGGCTACTAACACTGATGTATCAAATGTTTTAAAGCCTTAATGCCATTACTGGAAGCCCATTGTCAGCTTTCAAAGCTATAAATAATTAACTGTGTTAATTGTAAATGCAGGAAAAACGTGATAGAATTTCAGCAGGATCCTATTTCCTCTAAAAACAGAAAAATATAATAAGGTTGGAGAAATAACCATTAGAACACATTAAAAGCTTAGAGTCTTCATGGGTGGACTGACTCTCAGCATTGCACACCGCTAACCTTTCAGTTCACAGGAGCGAGGGGACTCTTGCTGACAGATTCAAACTGAATCACACTACAAGTAATACTGTTATGTCTGCCGCCGTTGTTTTTCTCCTGGTTTTCAGGACTACGTTCCTAAGAAATGAAAATAAAACACACTGCAAAATGACAACCGTTTGACTAAGTGTTTGTTCAATCTTTCAACAGTGCTTGGAGCCATGCAAGGAAAACTGGGACTTGAAAAAGAATAGCTGCCAAAGTCTCTGTGAGGTACGTCTGATTTATTCTGTACCAGGAAAGATTTTTTTTCCCCTCATAAAAAATGCCATGTTGAAACTTAAAAGACGCTTGTCTTTAATATTGGTAATCCTGTGCTTTTTGTTTTGGTCTCATTCGGAGCTGCTTTTTCCTTTCATCTAAATTGAAACAAACATGCATTCTTGGTAGAGGGGGTTATTTTTGAGATATTATTACAATTATTCCCCAAGAGTGATTTTTTATACGATACATTCCTGTTTGACATTCTTAAGGTCTATTCACGTTAGGTGAATTATGCACTGTGGTGGTATCATAAAAGTGTTCCAACAACTATCCACTGAATAATGATAACAATAAAGTGCTTCAGCAATTACATAAAAACATCTACTAAAGTGATCCAGTCAACAAAATGTTAATGTCCACATAAAAGTGCTTCACAAGCCAAATAGGAGTGTATTCAGTGACTTCCATGTCCAATTCATCAAGTTTCCACCTCACTCCCCAGAACTGTTGAACCGTCTAGTAAAAATGGTCACATAGCGTTCCTTAATTATCTCCCCTTCAGGGTGTAGAGGTGGGTAGTAGCGTTTTTCCTTCCGCAGTTGGGATAAAGACCGCAATGTTCCTCCTGGATAATATTAAAAAAATGGGCTGAAAAATTCGGCTTATACTCGAGTATATACAGTATTTCTTTATTCTCACTCCTCATATACCCTCAGCGTGGCTCAGAGAGAATAGAATAGTGTAAAATCACTACGTATCTTTATTTAAACAAGTTAGAAATACTCACATAGGTTGTGCTTGATCCACACTGCATTACAAAGCTCAAGATGTGTCTTCCTAATTCCACTTCCTAGTAACATGATGGCATCAGCATAGGCACGCCCTAGCAATGTTTTATCTTGAGCTTATTGAGCTTTGTAATGCAGTGTGGACCAAGCAAAACCTGAGCGTTTTTAACTTTAGCTGCTTTCATAGTGATTTTGATTAGGGAGTAGCGCATATACTTTTCTGATTAATTCTATATGCAATGTGGTTTTATTCATTTTGAATAGTATCCCCAACGCAGCTTCCCAGTGCACTTGCGGTCCTTGTGGTGCATTATCATTTGAATGGGCGGCTAGAGGACTGCCCTGAGTGGGCCCTTAAAGAATAATTCGACTTTTGCTGAGAAGAAATCCTTCCCCTGCAGTTTAGTACCTGTTTCTGTTCTGAAGAAAAAGCTGTTTATTGCAGCATGTCCTTTGCAAACTGATTCCTGAATGGTAGGGTCTTGGTTTGTTATAATCAGCTGGTGGGCTTCCTGTGTTGTAAAAGGAAATGCAAAGTCTGCATTGCTTTAGTAGTAATGAACCCTTGAGAAATATCTCACAAACAATGACATTCCTATTGCGACGGATGCCAAAAATAATACTTGTATCTGAGTGCAGACGTCTGGGAAAATCAGTCAGCCAATCACAAAAGCAGGAAGTAACATTGTTGGGGGTGTTCTGTACAGCACTTGTGTACAGGTCGCCATATTCCAGGTCGCCATATTGCATTTCATTTTTTTGACAGATCTATAACATTACAAAAGCTATCATTTTAATTGGAAAGGTAATTTTGAAATAACATTAAATTACAAAATGGCTTGTGCAACAATGCTATATGCTATATCTATTTTTTAAAGATTTTTTTTCATTTTTATATTTTGAAGGGGAAATTACCCTTTAAAGTGTATGTAAACCCTAGCAATAAAGTTTTCTTATTTGCTCTCTTTTGGACTGTTAAATATTCAATTGAAAAAGTCTTGTTATATCTGTTCAATAAGAACAATAAATGCATGCTGATCCTGCAAAAATTCCAGTGAGCTCATAACTTTGGACACTCTCTGCCCTGATAACTAACTGTTATTTGTTAACACTGTTGTCAGTCCTGCCCAGTTCTCTCTGTGGGTTACAGCACATCTCCTCCTATGTTACAGAGATAAGGAGAAGGGGAAATGTTTAGTAATCCTGACACAATTGCTGTGCTAAGGTAAAACAAAGGAAAACAATTGCTTAAATTCCAATTCTACCTTTGCGGAAGTATTTAAAAAAACCAAAACATATGCCAGCAATGTACACTGAGTTTACATGAAGCAGGCATATGCAATTGCTGTATATGAGCACAGAAAATGTTTTTTGTTGTTTCCTCTTCATCTTCTCATGGAAATGGCTGCCTCTGTATTTTGCAAGCAATCTGTGTATGTTACAACTGAGCTCTCCACCCCCTCTACCTTATTAGTATTCATAGTGGCAACCCTCCTGGACAGTGTATTATGTGTAAAGGCAGAGCTGGTATTTAGTGATCATGTTACACAGAATCGCATGGAGGGGACAGCTGTTTACAGCCTGCTTTGCTATCCAACACTAGTGCCAGACTGAATTTCCTGTGGAGAATGTTTTCAATTTCTAGAATTCAGGCCTTATAAAAAGTTCTTAAAAAATGAAAAAAGCCTGCAATGTAAGTCATAACAATGTACACAGATATACATCATCACGGGATCTCTACATTACCACAATAAGTGCTAATCACTTACAAAGGTGGAAATGGACTGTGGAACAAACAAATGTTAAACAAATTGCTGATCAGCAGGCTTTATATGACAGAAGAGACCGTGCAAGTCTCTTCTTCCATAAAAGTTTCTTGCTGCCATTCAGCAATTTTTTTTTCTATGGGCAGACCCGGCATGCTGAGATGAAGTAACTCCCATGCGTATACACAGGAGTTACATCATCGGGGCCCAGCCAATCAAGCATCTGATGAGTGGTAAGCTGCAGTATATGACATGTTTGTTCTTGGGCTTAAATACACTTTAACCAGAGGTGAACAAATCAGTTATATCTTCCAGTTTGCTGTTGACAAATTAATAGTGGACAAGTGCAAGAGGCCTATACACGTTCATTAAAGTCAGTTAACCTGTGATAATAGAAAAGTAAGAGTGACAGTGTATAGCAGACCCCTCAAGATACCTGTATCTACCTGCTCCCCCGATCTCCCGCTGGTGCCTACAAAAACCTTGTGTTCCCAAGCACCATGTTACAGTGCTGGATTAGACTCTGGCGGCAGATTAGTAAGAGGGGGCTTGTTCGAAGGAAGAAGCAGGTACTTGATGGTACTGACTATACAGTCTCATTCTTATTTTTAATATCCGTTTGCTTTCATTCAAAAATCACCTATGCACTTTAAGTTTGATCCATTTGCTGATGGACCACAAGTGATGTTTGCTTATCTCTAATCAATGCTTTTGCTGAATCACTGCTGTGAAAAAAAAAAATCAATTATAAAATAAGCCACTTGCAGAGAAGATTCTTCTGATTAATAGTTTAGACAGGAGTCAGTAGTCTATAATGTGAAAAGGGAGTTTGGTATTTCCTTCTAACTCCATTATTGTAGTGTATCTTGCAATGTCCCCTGGTCCTATTCCTAAAGTTAATGATGATGCCATCAAGTGAATGAATGATTCACTCCTATACAATACAAAAAGAATAAGGTATGAGCTTCTTACATGTGTCTAACTTTGCCCTTAGTGTCATTTTAAGGAATCTGGCCTGCTACCTTTATTAGTACTGCTTGACATGTTAGGGGCTATAATGCGAGGAGGTGCAAATTGTGTGGGAGACATTCTCCTCCAACTTCTGTATCAACCTCCACTTGTCCAATTCTGTGTGGAATATGATTCACCTTGAATATTTGATGAAATATTTACACTAACACACAGGCTGAGGAGGAAGTGGCCGCTGAAAGACTTGAGTAGGAAATACTTGGAGCTAGACCAATACGAACCAATGGCTTATTTCACTTGGGCACAAAGGAAATTCAGATTTGCGCTTTTGCCAATCAACATATACCACAGACTACATTATATATACCATATATCATTTACTCATTTATATTGCTCTGTAGCTTAAACATCTGCTGTAATGTTTACTTGTAGCAGATACAAAGGGAACATAGAAATGTAGAGTAAATACACCCACACATTTGAGATTCAATCCATTGTTAAGTGCCTGTGAAATATTTATAGCCAATTTTTATTTGAGACATATTCCTATTCTAGAAACTTGGAATTTTTATATTGTGTGGGCACATAAACAGTAAAATGTTAATAAATTATCTCTTTCCGCATTTTCCCTAAGCATATGCATTTCAGTAAATAATAGAATATTTTCTTCAGACAGCTTCATACACAATCCTCGCCTGGCAATGTACAAATTAAATTTTCCGATTAGTCTAACCAACTGTTCACCCAGTTATCATACTCTGATGAAACAGTCAACTGAAATAGCCTGGAATTGTCCCTATTTATTGATTATTCTAGCTGTTATATAGGCTGATTTAGAGTAGATTCCAACTGTACCAAGCCATGGATATAAGATCCCATTTTTTAATGCATGTATATTCTTTTGTGTATTAAAGGGCCATAGTTATAAATAAATAAAGTATTATCAGAACTGTATTTAAAAATATATAGTGACAGTTCTTCATATTCTAATGCAGGAAGTCACAGCGACAGGGTTAGGACAAACTATAACACTGCTGCTGGGGGTTACCTTTTTATTCTCATGGTTTAAATCTTTTTTATTTTTGTAATTGTTGCTGCAAATTCTCAAGAAATATTAGTGGTGTTATAGTTGTCCCAGCACCTGTTACATTACTGAACATTAGGATTGTTTCTAAATAAGAAGAAAAAAGTGTGAAAAAATAAATAAATTAATATACTGTATATCTTCATTATTTGTACTAAAGTGTATCTAAGACTCAAGAACAGCATATTATATTGCACTGAACCAGTCTTTAGATGTGGTGGCTGCATTAATTTACTCATGCCAGGCTTTTTGCCTTTATTTTCATTCAGTGATCCTGCCAGTAAAACCCTTCCTGTCCTAGGGTGACAAGGCACCTCCATTGTACTTAGATATAAGTGATTCTGCGCTGGACCTAGAAAAGTGTATAAGTGCTAGTGTGCCAATTTAGTTTGAAGGCTGCAGCAAAATCGACCGTAGGGTCAAAACAAATAACTTACAAATTATGCAGCGCCCGCAACATATAATGTGTTGAATGTCATAAACCCTAAAATTAATTAAATATAAGTATAAAATAATTCTAATAAATAAATATAATAAATATAAGTGATTCAGATAAATAAATTATATTCATATAGCATACACATGAATATTCAGTGCCTTCAAGATCTTTTTTTATAAGAAAAAACCATCAATGGCCCTGGATCATTGATCCCACAGGGTATGTGAAATAATTAGTGACAACTACCAAAAATTGTTAGTTGATGTGATGTGTCACGATCCAAAACAAAAAAAATCTGTTCAAAAAATATTCCAAAAAAGACAAATGTTCAAAAGAAATTCCGTGAACTGTGTTGGGGATAAGGGTTAATACCACCTATATCCCCTCAAAAGGTGCACTCACCGTGAGTAGTGGCTGTGATAAGCAGCCGGAAAACGCTCAAACAGAAGCTCTCAGGGCTGAAGCATCCATCCACCGTCTTGTTGTGCTCGTGAGTAGTGGCTGTGATAAGCAGCCGGAAACCGCTCAAACAGAAGCTCTCAGGGCTGAGGCATCCATCCACCGTCTTGTTGTGCTCTTCAATGAAAGATATGTCTCTACATAATATTTTCCTGTCTGTGCCACGATCCAATTGTTTTTTCCATACAGCTCAGTTATCATTCACCTTTGATGTAGGCATGGTTACAGAATATTTCCCTTTCCTTAGGTTAAGGGACCGGAGGAAGTAACAATGGACTTCAATTGCGTTGACCTCCATTGTACTGTATCTATGGAGGAGCAGCATTGTCACCCTAGGACAGGACTACAGAACTGTTCCCCCTTCTCCTCCATAGCATAGAGGGAGGTGTTCTGTAATCCAGAGATAGCTGGGAGCAATGCTAACTAATAACAGTCAGCAAAGACAGAGAGCATAGGAAGTTGGCAGCTCACAAAATTCCTGATAGTGTCAACAGGATTTTTCTGCACTTATCGAACAGATAAAAACACATTTTTTTCAGTTATATATTTACAATCCAAAAGGGAGCAAATAAGAGAAGGTCATTCTTAGGGTTTACATGTGCTTTAACCACATACAGTTTAATGCATCCAATGGTATACTTAACAGACCAAAATACTATTTAACCACATATATTTTTCAGAATTCAATTTTCAATATCCTTTAATTGTGCATCTGACTGAGATTTTAAACATTTAACAACTTGACCATGTCTAGTTTTACTAGTTTCAGGAGATTTAAGCAATTTTCTCTTTGCCAGCTAACACTTTAGCGCAGCTGTAGACAACACAATTCTCTGTAAATCTGTTTGCCTCACACTGATTAGTGATTGAACCTATATTTAGAACTTCAAAGACTAGTAATGAAGAGCAAAAGACTTACGGCTCAAGAAAAAGAGCAAGAAAGAGAAGGCCATGGGGCAAATTAGACCCCAAGGGATAATAAACAGTTTTAATTATATAGCTGCAAATTTGCAATTCACAGAGGTCTATCCTTTTCTTTACACATGAGCATTGCCTTTAACTTAAATCATTACAGAAGTGCTAAACCTTACATTCATCTTGTTTTTTTTTTAATATAAAAGAATTATTAACAGCATCTATAATTATATACTTAATCTCTGGGTATTTAGCTGTTCAGAATATTTGAAAGATTGAAGGCTTTATTCATGTGTAGACTTAATCTGTGATCAGCAGAGATGGATCAATGTAGCCAGGTTTAAGTGGTAAAATTAGTGTCTACCTATTGGGCATACACAGAGGGGTTGGTTTACTAAAGGTAAATAGGCTGTTAACTTTTCAAGGGAATTGTCCATAGCTTAGTGAATGTGGTAAAAAAATAACTTTACAAAGAATACCAAATCATGTGCAAGGAAAAAAAAAACAACAGTATTATTGCTTGTAGACTATTGGATGGTGGAAGTCAGCAGAGCTTTACCTCATTCACTAAGCTAAGAGAAAATTTCCTTGCAAAGCAAGCCTGTTTGCCTTTAACAAATTCATAATAGCGAGATATATCAAGATTGTTATGAGCTCTAAATCCTAATCAAGAGGAAGCCAGCACAATCTTGATAAATGAGTACCTGTGTGGCCCTGAGACACTGTTTGCGGTATGCCTCACAAGTGATTCAAGGCTTATCTTTTATCTTAATTCAGTGTGTAGGCTTCCTCTTCATTTGTGGTGCCTCCACTGCCATGTGCCTCCACTTTATTTCTAGGCCTCAGGGTCATTCTGCAGGATGGACATTATTTGTTTCTCAGATACCTAATTAGGTCCAGGGTTTTGGAAAGGCAAAAAAGGCAGGATGTTCAAGCAGCAATATTTTAAGGGGTTACTGGTGCAAAATATCATCATTTTCTCTACCTTCCTTTTTTTTTCTTTAGTTTTTAACTGCTTCCCGTCCATTGTCCGTATATACATGGCCAGACGGGAGTCTTCTAGATGTGAGAGGACATTTTAAAATGGTCTTGTACCCACTCGTGCGCATGAGCGGGAAAGAGCCACCCAATCGCTTGTATGTGGTGCTGCTCCGTGCGCC